GACAAGTTGCTGCTTAATAAACTATAACAAGAGAAGATTCCCGAGACAAGTTGCTGCTTAATAAACTGTAACAAGAGAAGATTCCCGAAACAAGTTCCTGCTTAATAAACTATAACAAGAGAAGATTCCCGAGACAAGTTGCTGCTTAATAAACTATAACAAGAGAAGATTTCCGAGACAAGTTGCTACTTAATAAACTATAGCAAGAGAAGATTCCCGGAACAATTTGCTGCTTAATAAACTATAACAAGATAAGATTACTAAGACAAGTTGCTGCTTAATAAACTGTAGCATGAGAAGATTCCAGAGAGAAGTTGCTGCTTAATAAACTGTAACAAGAGAATATTCCCGAGACAAGTTGCTGCTTAATAAACTATAACAAGAGAAGATTTTTGAGACAAGTTGCTGCTTAATAAACTGTAACAAGAGAAGATTCCCGAGACAAGTTGCTGCTTAATAAACTATAACAAAAGAAGATCCCATGACAAGTTGCTATTTTATAACCTATAACAATTTTAAAGAAGACTCCCATGAAAAGTTCCTATTCATTTCAACTATGACAACATGATGACACCTGTGATAAGTTGTCTTTTTCGTTTATCTCGTTTATGAAATTGGCTTATTTACCTTTAATGAAACAAAGATAAACAGCATTAAATTATTATATTTATTTTATGAACATTTGGTCAGGTGAAGAAACAAAACCACATTATGTTTTAATAAATACTTCAGTTAACACACGTTTTCTCAACGAGGTGGAGAGATGAGAAATAGTATTTCAGCATTTTTACAGCAAAATAATAACAAAAGTCTACAATGGCTTTGTCCATTCGCTTTCCACCAAGAACGAAAATGTAGCTTCAGTTGAGTTTTTCAGTATTCAGAAAACACTCGTAATCTGCTAGAATCAAACAAAAGGTACTGCGTTGCTATAGAAACGAGGTGGTCGCTAGTCCAGTCGGCGACTTTTTTGAGCCTGTGTCTCCTAGGTTGACGCCCTGAAGATTTTTTTTAATGGACGGTTAGGAACACGAGTTTATGTCATATAACAAATGATGATAATAGATGAAGAGAGGGTTTTATTAGGCCTAACCTTGAAGTGAGAACTCAATGCAATATAGACGAGAACAGCTCAATATTGCTTGGTATTATAAATATTCTAAAACATCAATTTTATAAAATATAAAAGAGTTTGTTTACTTGCTTTTAAACACGGGCTATCTGTGTTCTGCCAACCGTAGTTACTGAAACCCGATTTTTAGCGCTATAAGCCCTCACATTTGCCGCTGAGCCACGGACTAAAACTAGAGCTACAAATCTTATAAACCCTCATTTGTACTTTCTCGTTTAAATCTCCTGTGAAGCTCATAGAATAACCCCACTACAATAACCACATTATCTGCCTTAAGAAACTATAATATTCAGAATTCACGTACCTAGACTACAAAACTATTATAATGAATGACAACTATAATATTCAGAATTCACGTACCTAGACTACAAAACTATTATGATGAATGACAACTATAATATTCAGAATTCACGTACCTAGACTACACAACGATTATGATGAATGACAACTATAATATTCAGAATTCACGTACCTAGACTACAAAACTATTATGATGAATGACGGTACGTGAATTCTGAATATTATAGTTTAGACTACAAAACTATTATGATGAATGACAACTAAAATATTCAGACCTCATTCAAAAGAAATAGATACGCATACTTCACTAGATCAAACTGTACAAAACTATCACATTGAACTAGGACTATAATATTCAGATTTCGCTTGATCAGGATCTACAAAACAATACGATGAACTGGACCTATAATAGCCAGACTTCACTTTACTATATATATTTTACAAAACTATGATGATGATCTAGAAATATAATACCCATACTTCATATGACCAGACCTTATACAACTATGACGATGAATTAAAAACTGTAATATTCACACTTCACTTGATCAAACTACAGAACTATAATACTCAGACTTCACTTGTCTACACCCTACTAAACTATGATGTTTTGATTTTACTTCACCAGACTCTACAAAACAATACGCTTGGTCAACTCTTACACTTACAGAACACAGTGGACAGAACTATGATATTCTAACTTTGCTTGACCAGAATCTGTAAAACTACCACGATTAACTATAACTATGATATTCAGACTTGACTTGACCAGACTAGTAAAACATCACAATGAACTACAACATTCGGCCATTATGTGCGAGAAACTAATCATAGACACAATGTGTAAACTTCGTATGGCAGGAGGATTTGTGTTTTCTGTTCGACTGATTGTATGGCGGTTTTCAAGTGTGTGTTCTATCGTATCAAAAATATAGTTTAAGAATGTTTTATTTCTTAACGTAAGCCCACCAAGCTGTAGTAGTTTCATTGATAATAAGACAAATATAGTTAAAACCGCATAGGCGACAAATACATCAAAATTAAACAACAGGTTGAAAAAAGCGACAAGTTTTTTTAATTATATTTTTATTTAAAGGAGGATGACGTATTGAACTAGCGCTCTTCGTCAGATCGTACAGTTTACAACGAGTTTCGTCGATAATGTTTACTAAAATATCTACCGATATAAAAATAGTCTATTCTCACTCTTCTCATAACGAGAATAGGGAAGCGATCGATGAAGAGAAGAGGGGTTTGTCTCTGTATGGATACTATTAACTTCATAAGTTATAGTTTACGAAACCAAGTAATCCTAGCGTTTTTAAAAACGGGTTATCTAGCATATTATGAAAAGGGTTTCATAATTTTTTTAAAGTAATTATCAAGAAGATGTACTTTGAGATATTTGGTAAGTGAAAACTCATACCTTCTGCTTCATATATCTTTGCAAATTAAGCAAGAAATATCGTACACATTAATACGTAAGTATTTGATACTATATGTTAACTAGGCCAAATCACATCTAAAGTTCTGACTGTACCAAGAAGATGTACCATCGTAGTTAGATTCTTACCCGATATCAGCAGGAAAAACAGTAATTTCGATTTTATGGCAGCAACTAAACAAGGGTTGTTCGCCAGCAACACTTTGTGATAAAGGAAGTAACATATACCGGGTTTTACAGCTGAGCATGCTTTAAAGTAAGCGTTGAACAAATATCATATTTTATAGTAAATAACTGAAACGTGAACTTCGATGAAGTGTTTCTCACAGCCTTATATTTTTAAGTTACTTCGAGGTGTGATCACCAAAGTTTATTTTAATATAAATAACGTTCGCAACGCATACACCAGCAATAAGCTTTCTCTTCTCCCTCAAGGGGAATGGTGCTTAATTCTATCTAAACTGGGAAAAAAAGCTGTAAAAACCTGTATATGTTACTTCCTTTATCACAAAGTGTTGCAGACGGACAACCCTAGTATCGTACATATGTTTAGTTGCTGCCATAAAATAGAAATGATGTAAAAACGAAATTACTGTTTTCCTGCTGATATCGGGTAAGAATCTAACTACGATGGTTAGTTTGAAATACGTGTGTTTTTATTGTTTTTTAATGTCACAAGTTTCATGTGATATACTAGATGGAAGGCAACTGCTAATAAAATCCACCGCCAACTCTTAGGTTACTCTAATCGAATAGTGGGATCGATCGTCACATTATAATGCCCCCACGGTTGAAAGAGCAAGCATGTTCAGTGATGGGATTCGAACCCGCGACCTGCAGTTTGCGAGTCAAACACCCTAACCACCAGGTTAGCTGTATAACGATCGAAACGTTCAAAGGGCTCTTAACCACTGGCAAAGAGCCAGTCAAAGACCAGTGGATTAAGATATACACTAACCACATTCACAAGATCAAAGTGGGGGTCTAAACATAATAAATAACAACTTACTCCTTATTAAGATCACTAAATTAAATTAGACAAACAACATTTTATTGAAACTTTAGGATTATGATAATCCAGCTTCAGTACTTTACTACAAAGATGAGGAAATTACCTTTACGTATTAAGAGGCACAGCTGATAATACATTGTTTGAACTTAGTATACACCTTACGCTAAAAACGATCTAGCATAACCGAAAGAATTGACGGCGAAAATGTGCGTTTCGTCATTTATTTATTCTAGTTTTTATTTATTGTGAATGTCTTTGTCCAATTAGCACTAATTAAACAAATCCTACATCAATAATAGTTACCAGGCTAGCTTTCTGTAATAGAATAAGTGACTCACAACCAAGATTCTTGCAAATTTATGAAATAAATAAGTATAAATGCTTGTTTCTGATACCTCGAAATGTGACAAAAGGTTTCTATTAACAGACACTTCGTAAAAATAATAAAAACATTAATAGTGTTAATCAAAAACACAAAAATGATTTACGATTACACGATTTACCCCAGAGTGGACCGTTTTACCTTTAGTTTTACACAGAACGTATCAATAATTATTTAAATAATGATCAATACCTAGAACGAAACATTTTACACAGATCACATAAATAATTATTTAATATATTAGACTAGGTTGATCTAACCCCAGATTTAACCGTTTTACACATAACAAAGTATTTTTCCCATATATTTTCTAATTCAAGTACCTAACATGATTTCGTAAACCGTGTAATGAAACACATTTTTGAGGTAAAGGAAGACTGAACAAATCACCGATGATGATTTAACATTGATTACGAGCTAATCAGTAGAAAACTAATCAAACAGATAACAACTAAATTGATATAAAATATTACACAAGTTAATGAACGTTATCCGGTATTCGAAGCTGACTAGAAATAATGAACATTATGGCATATCTCTGGCACATAACAATCAACTACGATGTGGTTAGGTCAGTTATTTTTACCTGTCAAAGCGTAGAACACAGTTCCAAGAAGAGATAGCAGTCGAACATTTGCCATAGTGAGCGCGCTCTTATTTCAGTTCAACTGAAACACAACCTATATAACCACAGAAATAAAACATAACCAAGCAAATGTCTCCTTAGATCTGGGATTTGGTTTCTGGAACTGGAAGTGGAGGAATGTAAAGTGTCATGGCGTTAGTCAATCAAATTAATACCGCATGCTACATGGCGCACAGGATTTCTGATCGTGGTTGATTTGATAGTATCGGCGGCAGATGCTCGAGTCCATTTCGCGTATGGGGAAAATGTGCAAGACGAAGGTATTCCTACGCGATTTGCTTAACAAGTTAATTGACACGAAGTTATCTGAATTAGTGTGGGCATGTGTTGATATTTCAAATCGATATTTATGCTTTAAAATGAGGCTTAAAATAACCGATTTTTAAGATTTCTAAGTGATTTTTTTCAATCTATATTTCACTGCGGAAGATTACCATTGCTAGAAACACCCAACCCTGTTTCCGCGAAGGAAATAATGATAGAAATAATTTAGTTTTAGTATAGGCGCACTATTAAAAACTGTAGCTGAGAGCGAGATGCTGTCTTTAGTTTCAAAAACACTGAATGAATACTAGTTTCCTGTAGATAACATAAAGATCTGATAATAACTGTAATCGTATTTATACACGTCTTTGTATACTACAGTTATAAAATGCCTAAAATACTACTGTCAGGACTACAGTATCCAAAGACAGGAAAATATTATACTTGTAAAAAAAAAAAAAAAAAAAAAAATATTATTTCGTAACTCGCCTAAAAGTGTGCTTTCAGTGGATTAAATCAAATACTGACCATTACGCAATTTCGTTTAATCTGACTATTCAGCATTTCTAGAGAGTTTTATATTAGTATACATTGTAAAAACAACTGCTTTTGATTTATTATCTAAAGTTAAAGATCAATGTATACCATGCAGTGAAAAAAAAACGTAAGACAAATCAAGAAAAATATTTTGTATTATAGTTTGTAGTTAAGCACAAAGCTACACAATGGGCTATCTGTGCTCTGCCCACCACGGGTATCGAAACCCAGTTTCTAGCGTTATAAGTCCGCAGACATGCCGCTGTGCCACTGGGGTGCTTGTATCAACAAATATTTAATTTATTACTATCATGGTTTGGCCAATAAAGATATTGTCCATTTTATGTTGTAACTTTACGTTTAGTAACCACTATTTCCATGCCATACATCGATAATAATGAACATTTATTCACTAAGGCCTGAGCTAATTCAAAGAGCTACTAAATATCTTACCGAAAGTAACATCAGAATGCCGTATTTATAGCGCGATATCACACGCAATCATGTACAAGCTAGGTCATGGCTTTTATATTGATACTTCACACTGCTTAAAATATTTAATGGGTAAGCGAAATATAACCTATATTTACGACCTAAATCCAAACCACCTTTGTAAAAGAATTTCAATCATCCCATCAGTCCTTTGTATGCTCATTCATGATGATCAGTCATGAAATTTGAAACGCTAATGATTAATTATTCAGTTGGTCATAGAGTGTGAACCATCAAAACCCGGCCAATCACAGAAGCCTAATGCGAGTGTTTCAAAGCTCATGGTAGAGTTACTTGGACATTTGTAAAAGGCAGACCATCATCCACAACTTAAGAAGACGGTCGTTATTTGCCACAATTATAGCAGTGGTGCCCAAACGTCCCCCTCCTTTGGGGGCGTGAGAAGCGTTCTTTCTTTTTTCCTAAAGCTAAGTTATCGTTGTCGTCATTGGTTGTATCACGCACGTACGCAGGGGGGGGGGTCAGAGGGCTTGCCCGAACTCCCTATTTTTGTGATGTAAAAAATTAAGCTTCTATAGTTATAGCGCAGCTGCTTATTGTATTTAATGTTTTCTAGATAGTCTACGTTCTTCCTTTTGAAGCAAGACAAGCAAGTTTTATATACCTCTCCAGGACAGGTTCCTGATACTGGCTGACTGTTTAAAAGCTTGCTTCAGTGTACCAAATATCTTCATGTTACTGAAACTCTTTACCACTCTGCAACTAAGTTCATGTTCATGTGAACATTTGGCATCTGCTCTCCGCCAGGTTAATAATTAACTGAGGTGTACACAAACAGAAGAAAGACTGAGTGCTCTATCTTTAATACATAATCATTATGACACTACTAACAACATTGAAACTGTATGTTAGTTAGTTATAGAAAAGCACTCCAGATGAATGGAGCATGCTAACATGTTATTTCAGCAGTGCATACATGTGCGTATATGATAGCCAATGATTGAAATAGCTAATATACTACTGTTGTACAGAATTGTTTGAATTAGCAATATAATTTAACAATTAATATCTACTATGCATGTATGCAATACAGTACTTTACTGAGGTGTACACAAACCGAAGAAAGACTGAGTGTTCTAGCTTTAATACCTAATCATTATGACACTGCTATCAACATTGAAAGTGTATGTAAATTATCCATGTAAAAGCACCACAGAAGAATGGAGCATACTAACATGTTATTTCAGCAATTGCTAATTTAAGTCTAGCTCCGCATGAGTAGTTACTCCCGTACTTGCCAGCCACGCCGCCAGTGGGCGAAACAAGTGTGTCGACCCTCAGGTAGGGAGGGAGACGATGATGTCATAGATAACAAAAACTATGACGTCATAGTTCTACAAAGTGGAACCAGAGGGCGCATTGTTAGGCCGCTATGACAGGTAGACATTGTCATAACAACAGAAGTTGTCCAGAAAACGTGCCACATAGTGTACTCAGAGGGCACCATGATGATCTTATTAGAGATATCTCAATGAGTCTCAATATGTCAATCAATGACTACGATTAATTATGTTACAAGTAAAACTATTGTTTTAATGAAACAAGTATTATAACACTGTTACACATGTAAGTTATTATCACACATCATTTGAACAAGACAAATATTATAGCCAGTAATTTACTTTACATAATTTTACAATTATCCATTACTTTAAGTATAAAACAGATCCCTAATTTATTAGTTTTTGCTTCTATATTTAATCACACTTTTTGCATTTTCTGGCATTTTTCAGTTTTATAACTGACATCTATTCATCCTAAAAAAAGACGCAAACTAATCATTTGATTTTACAGTTCTGCTTTATAAGTAAAGCATTAACTACGATTTACAACGGCTGACAATATTACTAAGAATAGTGTCTCTATAAACGGAAGATGATGAGCTCATTGTAAGGTGTCTCAATGTCTAGATTTAAGAATTTATCCAAAAAGTTACAAGTAAAAATATTATTTTAACAACAATCTTACCGTTTCACTGGTTTGTCTTTATGATATGTTACTTTATAGCTTTAACATACATAACATTTACAAAGGTAGATAGTGTTTCTGCAGGTGGATAGTGTGACTATAGCCGGATATTGCTACTAAGATATTATAGGCGTTAATAGGTGTATTGCGTATGTTTTACAAAGGAAGATAGTCCCATAGGATTACATACAAATTTCAGCTTTTGCTTATGTATTTATTGTGTGTGTTTTAGAAAGGCAGATATGTTTCTTTAAGTGGATGGTTTTATTAGGTACATTGTGCATGTCTTACAAAGGCAGATGCTATTATTAAGATTCTACACTGAGTGGTCACAAGTAAATAGACACCTAATTTTTCGTCTATTTAACTGTATTTAT